GTAGCGAGGACAGCAGAAACTTCAAAGTCAAACTGCTCTTATTAGGAACCGCATGATCAAATGGGCTATCCGAGAATTCAAAAGCACGAGCTTTTTTTTTACACGACAATCTAATTAAATCGTATTTTACCAAGTCCTATAAACCCTCAATAAACTCAAAGGAAAAAAAATCATTGAAAGAAATGTCCCGTACTCTAAATTAACGTTCCTTTAATCGACACAGACTTGCCCTCTTCAACTGCCAGTAGCAGCTTCTCGAAGATGCCTGACCACTGTCCACTCTGTTCTGGTTCTTTTCCACAAAAAATTCGTCTCCAATCATCCCCACATTTGGTACTCTGGACTTTCATTCATGAGCTCTAGTTCCAGAATGGCAAAATTCACTTACCGTAGCATCAAAGCCCCTAACTGCTCTCACAAACAACTCTCGACACACACTGCCTGCGATCACAACTGCTAATGCCATGATCGCGATCTGCTTCACGTCCTAACAGACACGTGGTGCGTTCTACGGGCAAAAACAAACAATTTCGATTACTTTTTCAAGGGTGTCCATATTCAGGACAGTGCAGTTGATCCAGTTACCTAACAAAGAAACTGCATCCTCGTGTGTAGCTAGAATAAGTAAATGAAAGTCTACCCAAAGGTTATTTTTATTACACTAACATTCCATGGCTATCTTCAGGCGTGTAATTAAGTGGTCAGAACATCTTTTATACGTTGTAACAACTTTATTCTTGTAACCTGCCCACCTACGCTAAATCCAAGCGATGGCTTTACAATACGTATGCATTATTTTAAGTAATAATCGCAGAAGGCTTACAGAAGTATATTTTAGATCGGTAGTATTCAACCTTTTTTTGTTCGCGTACCCCCAGATATAATTTCTCTTCAACTTTGTACCCCCAAAGTTGTTGGTGTATAATTCAAGTTATACATAGTATATAATCTACATCTAAAATAAATTAAATAAATTACATTACTGATTATTCAGTGTTCATCATAAAACATTGTTTTTTAAATTCCACGTACCCTCTAAGATGTCTTCGCGTACCCCAGGTTGAATACAACTGTTTTAGATCATTAAAATGGAAACTTGCTGGTTTATAAACATTTAAAAACTTATTAGATCGTAAATAGTATGCTCGAGCGGTGATGTTCTTATGCTGAATGTTTCTATTCACCAGTTTTGTTGTGCAAGGCAAATAGTATTTGCACTGTTGTGTATATCACGTAATGGACTGTTCTGAAATAATTATAAATACCGTAAATTTCGAAGTCGCTTATGGAGACCTCGAGTAATGTCTATCGTAACAAGAACAGAACTCACCGCATTCGACTGGGACCAGCATCGCGACGTCGAAAGTGACTGCATGTTGGTGGATTCAGGCTGATACGTAGTTAGTATTTATTCTTAGCTGAAGGGGAGGGAATAGGTAGAGGAGGGGTGGGTGAAAGATACAGTAGTGGGGCGGTCTGTGCGTTCCACGTCTATTATATAAGTAAAATGCAAAGGGATTAAAGGATAAAAGAAATTGTCTGGATCCAGTGTAGGTCTGCAGGTTACAAGAATTAAATACGTAGCAACGAAAACAAGACAATCTTCTGACATTCAAGCTACATGCCTGAGTATAGCAAGATCACGCACGAATAATAATAATAACAATAAATGTTTTCCAAATGACTATTTTTTATACTTATTTTAATTACAGCCTACATATCCACCTGTTTATTTATCTCACTATAAATCTATGTAACAGCTCTCTACTGAACTATCCATCTGTATGCTGGTCTGGTGGTTGAAGTGATAAGTTGGAGATGTTTGTGGTCATTTAGAAAAGGACGGTAGGGCTGGCATCGTGGAGGTGGTTATCTTGCAGTGTGCTGGTGGTTTTTGATGGGTGCGGTTTTGGTGGTTGTTAGTGGTAGTGACTGCCTAGTACTGGATGGTGGTCCGTCTGTCGAATGAAGACAACTAGCATATGACGTATACGGTTTCCTTGTATCATCGGGTCGGAGCCGACACCTGGTGACATTATGAACAAGATCCCTCTGATAAGGACCTGTTCATATGTTTCCTAGGCAGGTGATCCAAAAGTGGTTTGCCGTTGCCTTCTTCTGTGTTCTTAGTATCTAATGATGAAAATGGAGTAACTGCTGGGATGCCACGGAGAAACCGGGGAAGCCCCGGAGAAAAACTCCGTGATACCTGGACCACGGCCTTGCCCAACACAAGTTACAAATCCGGGCACCACCGGGAATCGAACCTGGAACCCCAGAATTACAAGCCCAGCGTGATGTCTATATACCCTATCAGATATGCTGACGTAACTTCTGACTGCATCAGACCACCGTAATTCAAGGCAGAATAATGTTCAGCAGTCGACATCGACATACAGAGCAACAAAGCCGATTGACATTCAAGATTCTCACTCTGGTGAAGACGTCAATGTTGGTCTTCTGGCTTGTGATGCCATTTACACTTGTAAGTACATACCAATATTCAGGGGAAAATACAGCCTCCATCTTCAGGGTTCTTCAGTCCTATCCGCATTTCCGCGTGGGATCAGACTCCAGAAAACCGACATAAGTGTAATCAGTTACAGGAATCATTATGCAAATATAGGATATATGACTCCCATATTTGAAACACCCCAAAAAAATTGTCAAGTTTCTACATGGAGTATTTTTATTAGACTTGCGTATAAAAATATGTCAGTAATATAGCTAGCAACAAAAGTACCTCTGTATAACAACATCGTTACATCTTAAATTCCCCTCCGAGTCAATGTGACAGCAGCAGCGTTGACAAGAGGACCTCAAGGTTCTTATTTTGATTAGATTCAATGTCTGTTGTATGACGATACTATTTTTAATATTAAAATGTAGTAATATTATGTAACAACCATCGCTCCAACAAAAATGTAACACATTGCAAATAATTTGAACCATCAGTACCAGGTATCAGATACATAATTGAACACTTCAATTGACACTACTAGAGATATCTGAATAATCAATTAAATTTATTATTACTTGCTAAATTTCACAGGTTTGCTTTTGTAATTCATTTAGATTAATAACCTTCCTCATACTTAAAGTACTTAAATTCCAGATAAAATATATCCTAAGCATTATATAACATTACAGTACTTTTATTTTCCGTCGTTACACAAGCTTGTGTAACGACGGAAAATAAAAGTACTGTATTGAGGAACACAAGCATAATGCAATTAAGATATAAGCTAAAAAAAAATTATATAACATGTTTTATTATATACCTAATATAAATTTATCATCTGAAAATTAATCAACACTGACTAAAAAAAATAGCTATGACACAGAAAACATAAAATTCCTCGACTAAAAAACGAAGTTAACCACGACATAATACAGAGCGATCATAAAAATGTAAAAAATATAAAAATGTAGGCAATATATTTAGTTCTGATTACGACTCATACTGTCACGTTATAATTTCAGCAGAAATAAAAATATCACTGGAATTTGGAAGCCAAGCTTCTTTACACTTGCTTACCAATCACGTCTGTACTGACAAATGGTTCACCATTTTCACGAATTCTCTGTTACAATTTTTTATTTTGGTTCTGTCTTAGAACCCAGCGTACTGTTTGACAATTTTGTTCCATTCCTTGGGGTAGTTCCGCTGGATATGCGACAGAGTTCTCTGGATCTGGCGCATCTCATCAGGCGTGCACTGAGGGCAAGACCCTCTCAGGACGAGTGGTGCAAGAGCTGTAGACATTTAACGAAATATTGTGTAGCTAACAACTACTGACAGTCAAAATTTTTTAGATAGGACATGATCGCTTTCACATAAAATTTAATTCCGAACAACAGTAGTGTTGTTAAATAACCTACAATCCATCCATAATATGTTTATGGGATCCAAAAGTCTTGTAAGCATTTCTTGTTTCTCCACACATTTTCATAAATTGTCGCCTACATTATTTTATACCACGACGACATCTTGAGAAAAATCAAGGAAGGTGAAGCCAGGTAAACAAAGAGGATATGCAGTTTGATCATCACCTCCAACCAACCTCACGAAGAAGCCAGTAACGTATTTTTTTTTAGTGTCCATTAGCAGGATTCACGACCCATCAGTACACGGGTTCGACCGGGACCGCGAAATTTAACGCTCCTACTGTGACCCCCTTTGATGAAAGTGGAGTAATTGTTTGGATGATACGGAGAAACCCCGGAGGAAAACTCCGTGATGCCTGGACCACGGCCTTGCCCAACACAAGTTGTAAATCTGAGCACCGCCGGGAATCGAACCCGAGACCCCAGTATTACAAGCCCTGCGTGGCGGTAGTAATGTAAATAAAACAGCAACATATTTAGGGTCACCTGTAGGAACCTGACACGACTAAATTACATCCCTGTGACGAGAAGGTTACCCATGACACTTAAGGTATTTTCAGCACAAATTATCTGGTATTACGTAAATTTCAGGAATTAATATTTACATGCATTTAAAATTTAGAGGCACACAGTTTGTGTTTCATAAGATTAGAAACTATCAGCAAGTGTAAACCAACTTTTAAGTCTGCGGCCTACGGGATCACATGATGCCTCCCCCAGAGCGCATTTTAGTTGCCGCTGAAGATAACGCTTGTCATTCAACGCCCTCTCTAGGGCCTCATCTGATATTTTGGGTCTTTGTTCGTCCTGAGAACCTGCAAGAGCTCCTATGACGAAGACGCAGGCTATGATCAAAGCACACCTCAGCATTGCAGTCTGAAACAAAAAAATCTTATATTTCACTGCAGTCTCTGCACTAAAAATTATATTATTTAAGATGTTTATGCATTAAACACCATCGTATCCTCAGGTAATATGTTACACTATGACTGTATATACAATACTAACAGAACGTCGAGTGGCTAGTACTCGTGCTTTGTATTAGGGAGATCTCGGGTTCAAATCTCGGGCCCGAGGCCGGCTATCATGGTTGAGGTTTTTCGTGATTTTCCTCAGTTCCTCCAGGAAAATTCCGGGATAGAACTTTAAATTACGCCACTGCCGCTTCCTTCCACATCCTTTCCAATTCATCATTCAGTATTATCCTCTCATTTGACGCCATGTATTCTGATCTACTAAAAAGGGTTCTTAAATAAACTATAAGTAAATAAATCGACAATGTTGAGGGGTTAGGTAATTGTCAAAAAGTAAATTTCATCAACCTTTAAGGCATAGACTATTGGCTTCTTTCATAAATTTTAAAATTTTAAATCCCACCAGATCTTCAGGTGGTCGGGTTTGTGTTGATGCGTTTGGCAGAAAGACGTTTTACACTGAATTTAATTTACAAAGAATTTAAAATGTTCACTTGCAAAGTTAATTATTAACATATTAAAATTCATATACCAGACAACCATAATCAGTACCAATCCTATATGAAGGGAACAACAGAAAGGAAAAGCCACGTCGCTACTATTTTGAAAAAAGACCTTCTGCCGTGTGGGAGTGACCGAAATTTCCTCACGTATCCCGTATGCAATAACAAACCAGGACCAACTGTTCTCCCTTGTGGGTTAGTATGTGAGCACGGCTACTATAAATTGATTTGTGATTGAGGTGCGGATTCTGCAGGTACAGACGCTACACAAAAACTGTCTCTCTCCAATCACAGAAGCTCAAGGCACGTTATTGGACTAAATCGACGTTATAATCGTTTCAGCCCTTGAAATGTATTAAACGCTGACACCGCCGTATCTTACACTCGGAGGAAACTTCCTGCCAGTCGAAAGAACCACCAAGTTACACGAAACAATCGAATGCTGTATAGGTCCAGTGTTACGCGCTTCATAATGAGAAGAGATAATTGTAATCGCCGGGCTTTCTGGAATGTTCTGTGACTCGTGAGATCCTAACGTCCAGTTAGCAACAGCGCGACTTGCCAGGTCAGTTGTTAAGTGACTGTTAAATTTAACACCTAAAACATTATTTATTCTATTTATTTAAAGACGCTGTCAGTAACTCAGACCATATAATGTCTAATGATAGGACGACCAATGAAAAACTAAGAGTGCACATCCTTCTCCATTCATCATTATATAACCAAAGAAGCCAAAGCATCGCTAAATAAACCGAAAAACTATAAGTCGTCTTGAGCTCATAAACCGAACACACGTCATACAATAAAAAAGGAGGAAAATTAACAACCTGACGTGCACGTCAGTTTGGAACTTTCTAGAGCTGGACAGGGTTAAAACTTTGAGTAGCCGTGGAACTACATGTCCAGGAAAGTGCAGGATTTAACCGACGTACACTACCGCTGTGTATCATCTCCCATGGAAACAACAGACGGACACCCCCTCCCCCAAGCTCCACCATTGGAGCGGAAAGTAGATTAATCATAATGGAATCCTCACGGTGCACTGTCGCTCTCAGAAGAGAGCAGTGTTGCCTGTTAACCTCGTGTTAAATAAACAGTCTCCCCCCCATTGAGGATTTCCTTCCACTGTACTTCTATACTTTTGCAGTGTTAGTGGGCTTACTCTTGAAAATATTCTACAATAAATGTGTAAACTTCTACCTACAGTCGAAATTGGGACAAGTTTTCATTTCTCTAAAACAAGAGTCGAGATATCGCAGTAAAGTCAACTGCCACGATCTGTTGAAGACGGGTTTCTCTTCGCCAGCCCAGATCTAGGAACCACTCAGAACAGTGCTCAATTGATAACGGAAGACCTTTCCTCAGAGGTACAGCAGACAGAGCGAAACTATCATTCAACTACGCACCCATGCACCATATACGCCTAAATGGTGTTGGGCTTATGATCAGGGGCAGACTGCATTCAATGAAGATGGAACAAAGCAAAGATAACGGTCTACATGTTGCCACCAGTGGATCGTATGTAAACCTAAAATGAGCATTACATTACAGAGAAATTTTCCAGTTCAAAATTTGAAATTTCTGTGATGACAAAAAAGAAAAGTTGTGATAAAATTTAATAAGAAAACGGAACACTTTGTGACTTAAGGTTCAAAATTAAACCAACAGTTTTTAAGTTATTTGTTTATCACGTCTATCCGATGTAAAGCCGATCGCATTTCGGCGAAAACATGCGCTCCTGTCGGGAATCGAACTTCGGTTGTTCAACCCACATCATATTCACTACACTGACTGAATTACAACGTGTTAAACATATATATATAAAAACGAGTGGCCGTTTTAACTGAACGACATGGACAAAATTTTTATTTTGTTGCAAACGTTAGCAAAAAGAACCAAATACAAAACCTCACAAAACCATTCATTGTGCGTACCGAAAAACGAACTGAGGTCACTGCTTCACAACGTGTACTTCGAGATGTGCCTAAAATGTGTTTATATAACCAAGAGATGGTAAAGTTGCGTCATATTGATATAATAAATATATATTGTTTAAATCTTGTCCGTCTAATCACAATAAATTCTTATTAAATATTAAAATATTACATTAATTAACATTTAAAATATTTAAAAGATTAAATGATGTTCTTTATCGAAATATTCGATTTACATTAGACTATCATTTTTCACGACATGTTTCAGTTCCTAAAAGAACTATCTTCAGGTGTATATAATTATATAAAGATTCAAATCAATAATAACTTAAATACAATTTCTTAAATACAATTTCTATATATTATTTTAGCGTACATTTTTATCAGATGTTTATCAGATATCAAACATCGTTTAAATATTTTAAATGTTAATTAATGTAATATTTTAATATTTAATAAGAATTTATTGTGATTAGACGGATAAGATTTAAACAATATATATTTATATAACCAAGGAAAAATGCATATTGGAAAACTACATGGTAGTCGCCCAAGTGTGTAGTATACGTGCTTGGGAGTACAGCGGAAAAAAAATGGTACTTACTGGCTATGCAAAGACCTCCGTACAATGTTTCTGGGTCCCTATACAAATATTAATACCTGTCACTTGGTCGTCTGACATGACACTCCGTCAGTGTAACCAATACAGATTACGTGCTATGGATACCAAAACATGAGAAAGCAAAAGTTCCAGGTAGCCTCTCTTTTTTTACCATTTGAAACAGCTAAAGATGAAAAAACTGTGACGCGATAAACATCGACGATTAGACTGGGGCTCTCAAAAGGGGGCTTCAACATACCTGAAAGGTCTGTAACACAGGCTAGAGCTCGCCTTGTCAGTAATGCACGTCTGCTTGCAACAGGCGAGACACACACATTGCAAACACCAAACGAGAATTAAACATTTTAAGAAGGTAATTACCATTAACATTAGCTTACTCAGAAACGTTAGCAGCCACTTAAAAGTCTAAGTCAGTCACAACCCAGAGGACAACTGAAATCTTCACCATTGTGAGAACAGCAAGTTGCATATAGATTTACATTATAAATTCAACACGAGACGAGCTGTCTCTTTAATTCATACTCAAAACAATTGGAGGTACATAAGGAAAGTAACTTTCCTCCGTCTACAATGCTTACGGAGTCCTCGTAAATACAAGCCAAGAATTAGCGACAAAATGCAAGGATAGCTCCTGTGTGAGATTAAACAAATCGAATGCCATCTCTTTAAAACAGATCTTGGTGAAACAGGGTTAAGGAGTATGGATTGGATTCATGTGGCTCAGGATAGAGAGCGGTGGCGGATTCTGGTGAAAACAGTAAAGAACCTAATTTTCATATGAGACGGAGAGTTTGACTAACTGAACACCCTGTGCTTCTCATGGAGGATTCTGCTCACGGAGTTAATGTTTAAAACAGTGCCTACAACAGAGTGTACTAACGCTGTTTACTTTTGGGGTACAGACCTACTCTGCCCATAAATAAATTTTCCGTCGTTATGGAACTGAAAGTTCATCTCAACGAATACATAATCCCATCACTAGATCCTATCCCGAGCCAATTAAATCCACTTCTCATCTTCACGAACTATTTCTCTGACACATATTTCAATGTTATTCCCCAAGTAGTCTCCTCCTTTTATGGCAGGGGATCGCAACCCTTTCCAGTCCTAAAGAGACATTCCCGCTTTCTTACAGACCAGCGGGAACCCGAATTATAAATGAGGGTAATTCATTGAAAAGCCGTGAAAATTTATTAAGAATGCTACTAAATTAGACCTACTATTGCAAACAGATTCACGTGTTACTCTATCTTAATTAGCACTTTACACTGCGTTTGCATGATTATTATTTCAGTAACATGCTTATTTTGTGTTGCAATTCGGATGCATATAAGTATTCATTAGTAAAAGGCGTTCTAGTATTTGACTTGACGTCCTTCATTACGATGAACACATTCTCCAGCGATATTACAGTCATATACAGGAATTAACAAAACTTGTTTTATATTATCACGTAACATTTCATCATGCACGAAGACACAGTATACCATAAAATGTGCGCGAGCCGTACAAAACACAATGGCGGGCCGCAGAATGAGAACTCTTGCTTTAGGGGATCCCTACAACATTTCTGTGTGCGTGAGATTTCAGGTCCTCACGGCGGCTAGTATGAAGATGGCTGTCTTGACGGTTCTTGGGCCGTGCAGTCTGGTAGATCTTTGCCGACGTTTCAGAGGTACTTATTTCCCCCAAATCAGGGCTATAAGTCCCCTAGAACGTCGGTAAATATCTACCAGACTACACGATGCAACAACCCACAATACAGCAGCCATCTTCGTTCTTGTACTCATGTCTTGATCTCCAACCCCTGCCTACCTATTACTTGCGGATGAAAGATCTAAAATGGTCCGATATTATGTCTTACCACTCACGCAACTTCAGTACCATAAATGGAATGACCTGTACCGTTCCCATATCACTAGTCTGCACGACCGCCATGTCAGATTAGTTGACAACAAACATTTGCATAACGAAGTGGTTGACTCATATTCTTACGAAATTTCATAATTTATAAACTCGGTCAATTTGTATGTATCATATTTATGTTCGTGATTCGATCAGTGAGTCAACACCTGGAGACACACAAAGGTAAAAAAAGGTCAGGTGGTTGTTCTACAGTCCTCTTACCTGTGTACAAGAGTCGAGAGCCATGTTCCCTCGAGAGCAGTCGACGTTCAACTGAAGGCGATGCGCGCTGCAGGCCTCTACTTCTATCGGAACAATGTGCTTAAGGTTGAATTCGCTTAGTGGGTCAACAGAGAAAGTGCTCATTCGTGCTGCAGTATTGTCGGCAGTGAATTTAATTCATCTTCTAAACAAGCAAGATCAACTTCACCATCACGCGGGACTCACGCACACTGAATCAGTTATGAGGTTATCAAATCCTCAACATGCATAAGTGTGTGGACAGAATGAAGATTAATAATTTAAACGTAAATGGTTACTTAAACTCCAAGCGACAAGCAAACAATAAGACGTTCGCCTGAACATACGTTATGTCTGTTCTTAGAAGGCTCCCAAAGAAGGTTCTGAGTTTCCTGTCGTAATTCTGTAAATCATAATCCTGTTCCTTAACAGGAAGGAGAGGGCTTTGTACTTCCGAACAATTAATTAATATGTGTAAAAGTTATAGAGTCGGGATACTTAAATCAGTTTTGTGACTAGCAGACTAATGGTTGAAAGACCGGGGTTTGGCTCCCAGCAGGGCAGAAATTTTATCGTCTCTGCAACGTCCAGAAAGGCTCTGCGGCCAACACAGTTTCCTGTCAAATTGATACCGGGGTTCATTCCACGGAGGTCAAGCGGTCGGGATCGTGAAGATAACTATTCGCTTTCACTCAGTGCCGAAGTTATGAGTACGTTACATCCACTCTCCATGCACTTTCAGGACAAGGTGCTTAACTAAGCTCCGGGGACAAATTTACTTGCCTTATAAAAATTTATAGTCCCTAATCAAACTGATACAAACTATCGAAATGAAGGATTCAGGCAGCTGGAGACAGTTGGACAACGAGGACGTGCTGGGTGGGATATTTAGCACACATGAGAAATGCATACAGATTATATGTGGGGATAAATGAAGTGAAAGAACAGGATATAATAAAGATCGACCTTAAAGAATATAATAAGATATAAAGGTGTGAACCACATTCATCTGGTTCAGGGTAAGGACCACTGGCGTGCTCTTCTAAGGAGTCATGTACCTTCGGCATCCATCAAATATGGAGAGTTTCTTGATAAACAGAGCGACTATCAGCTTCTCAAAAAAGCCTTTTCTTTCTGGAGTTAGGTTATGTGTATTTCACTTATGTCACGGGTCTATGCGTAGTTCTTAAAACCATAAATGTCGCACAAGAGGTGTACTTCGGAACTGCTAAAGTTGTTTCGAAAGTAATGATGGTTAGCGCCTCTACTTCGTAATCAGCAGGTCAGGGATACGAGTCTCGGGTGGGACGCGGACTATCGTTATTGAGGTTTCTCGAGTTATCGTAAGTGCCTTCAAGTACTCGCTTGGTAAGATTTATCATAGGGGAAAATATAGAAAGACATAGCATCAAGTTCTTTTTCTTTTCTTTTCGATTTTACAAACTTCTGATCCAGGTACACTGGAAAGCTTTTAGGTCGGGTTACAATTCTAATTGGCTGATACAGTTCAAATCCATTTTCTGTTTCGTATTTGTTTTTCATGATAGTATTAATACCAAATCCAATCAGAATGACCGGCAGAGGTTTCTGAAGTAGACAGACACGATGAAAAGAGACTTTCGGACGAAAGAACTGCTCCCTCGGTCGTTACGCGGATGGAACGACCAAGGAGCGCCATTTTTACTACAAACAAAAAGAAAGATTCACTGTCTCGCTCCGTGCCGAAGAGGCACTCAAAAAATACAGACGATACTCGGGAGATTCCAGCCTCCTTATTCACGGCCGAAGAAACTTACGATGTCAGTTTTCTGTCACTTCCATTTTATGGACTCCTCTGTCTCAGAGCAGGACACAGTAGCGGGATTTTGTGAGCACGGTAACGAACTACAGCCGAAGCTGAAAGTCGTTTTATATGCATAATATACGAATCAGGAACCTAACATTCGCATAATTGCAACAACAGAAGAGATCTATATTCGTACACGAGACGGACAACGCTGCTGAAGATTATGTCGTCGTGGTATTCTGATGATTCGTAATTTGCACATGTACTAAGTGCACAGACATACAGACCCATAGAATCACGCCATTTTTCGTGAATTCTTTGGATATCTTTGCTTTATATAATTTATGACTGGTTTCAAAGTTTTTTTTTTTTTTTGGGGGGGGGATCATTTAATTTCACGTGTTTAGAAACCCGCGACACTGTCAGTGAATCGCAAATACTTCAATGATTTATTTCATATTCCCTATCACATGAATGTATTGCAGTTGAAACAATAAGAAAGAGATGGAAGCATCTTTGCACCTACAAACACGCAATAAATCAATTCCTCTGCGTGCATAAATATTCAAAGGGATCGTGACATACTTACTAAGTAGCCTCAATAGTTTGACGCAATAATTCAATTGTGTTTATACACAAATATTTCCTTTGTTTAAACTTCGCCTTAAAGCCCTACCTGCTTTAGCAATCAGCAACTCTTTCATTTTTAACTTATAGGTTTCTTATGATTCTCGCCGTAAATAGCGATTACTTCCTTAAACAGCATTAACAAGCTAATCTTTGTATAAAGAGTAGTTTTCTTCGCGGTACGGACTGAATTCTTAAATATTAAATTGACAAACTTCGGGTTCCGAGGGTTAATAATGTTTATTAAATCGCCCTCTTCTTAAAGTGGACCTCTTTGGTGGAAGTAACAGCCATTTTAAAAACTCTGATTTATGGTATAAATTTCAACCACGGAGTCAAAAGAATAGAGGAGAATGATGGAAAACCTTGGTAAAGATACAGTCTCCGGACAGATATTTGAACCCAGGACCTCCAGAGTACAAACCAGGAATTCTAACCACTTAACCGCAAAGTTCGTTATGACGCCGATGGTTGCAGTTATGATGATCTGTAGTGAGAAAAGGATTATTTTTTGTTTCAATAAGAAAGCAAATTTAAGTTTGATAATTTCAGAATTAGACAGACCCATCTGGCGTATTCAAGGATAAAACTTCAATGTACAAAATCTGCACTCTCCCACGAAAAGATAGACGAAGGCTATTCGCAACTTGTAGCGTGTCTGCTTAATATAAGAACACCCTGAACCTCTCACCAAGAGCACAATGAATGCTCTTTTGTAAGGCCCAGAACAATTGCGTTTCCGTGAGCGAATCATGTACTCCAATGCTCTGAATCTAAAGAACACATTCAACACGTCATGACATCCAAAAACACGTCTTCCACTCATAGCGGCTGTGACGCTCCTGACACGGGAGGTAAAATTTAGAACCTCGGACAAGCTATACTGACGTTTCAAATGAGGAACAACAGAATCCTTCCAAATACCTGTCTACCAACAATTCACATCAAAAGCCAATCAGATAACCTCTGCAGTTGTAACAGTCGTTCCATCATCTCGTAGTTAAAGATGGCTTTCTTCTGGTTTGTCGACGTTTCAGAGGACCTTGCTGTGCGGCGAGCACCTCTGAAACGTCGGTAAACTTATACCAGACTACACGGCGTATCAACACAGAAGAAAGCCATCTTGCCGACATGAGAACCTGATATTTCATCCCGTACTTGGCATCTTTTCACGGAGCTGATGAAATGAACTTCAGGTCGTCCATGACGAATAATGCGATCTAACAGTTGGTACTTCCGCCTTGCGGTCTAGAAAACGACAAGCCTGTTTTCACTTTCCTCCGTGCCTTCGTATATGTAACGATTGGTTAAACCCAAATCCTCCACAATTCACGATTCATTATCTCAGGGCTTCACTTACGATGAGCTTGTCTAAACGCAGTTCCTGTCCCTTCTTGTATCGTTCCGGGTCACTATCATTAACGTCCTAACTTTCTATTTCTAAGGAAAGTGACGTTAAATTCGCCACAATTCACTACTATCAAACAATATATGTTTTATTCCGTAACGACGCGAGTGATGTACAGAGGAGACGTCACTGCATACAGTCGCCGTAAAAACTTCATTTCATAAAGTAAATTATTACGCCGCATATTAATACATTTCGTGTTGGAAACGAGATCTCTTCTAAACCGATTCTACATTAACTTTTTAAATAACCATTGCAGCAGATAACAATACAAATATTCACTAACTATAAAAACAGATGAAAACAAAATATCGTGTTTCTCCTGGGCGTCGATAGATTAAATTTTGCGTCACGCGCAGAGTTCATGTAACTTGGGGCGACATCATAGAAAATCTGTGGTGAAATGGAAAGTAGTCGTAACTTATTGAAAATAGTTTACGAGATTTGCTTGGAAGGCCGAGGAAAAAACATTCGAAGGAATTGTGAGGGAACTGGACAACCTTAAATAAATCTTAGTACAGTTTTCCCCACGAAGTTAAAAAAAGAGAGAGAGTGAGAACCAAACACTGTACGATGGCACAGAAAGCCGTGTACCGTATCTTCGAAATCAGTTCCTGGAATATGCATCGCTGACAACACTTACACAGTGCATCAGCACTCAGCAAAGCGCAATGATGAGATTATCAGCTCAAATAAAACGCAAGTGTAGAACTTTACTGACGAACGGCAAACGGCAACAGCCCTTATTAAAGTGTTCTGCTTACAGGTAAAACAGATTACAGGCACGCTATTCGTATACTTCGGACACATCTGTAGATTTAAACATAAAGACACTGAGTCGAAACAAGCCGTTAAACTCTGAACAAAAATGGAATAATGACTTAACCTAAAATTAATACGACACACGATTTCTATTTTCAATTCATCAAACTTCACTTACATACAGCCTATGCGTTTGTGACATTCTCTTCATCAACTATTATCTGAAGCAATCAAGTGAAGATATACGAGTGCCATGACACGCAGGCGTATGGAGGAGTGGAGGTATAGTTCCGCGTATTTTTAATCTCGGTAGTAGAAAATGGAGAGTCGCCAGTTTCAAGCCCAAATCGCTTTATTCCTGGAAAAAGTACGCCTCCCACGATACCCATTAGATGGGAGACAGCGGGATCTCGACTCAGTCCGGATGCTGCGACGAAGAGAAAAATCTGTCCCTGCGGGGAAACAAACCCGGGCCACCTAGATCATACAGACCGAGATATCGCGGCTCTTTGAGCACGCAAGGCGGAGTGAGAAATCCATACAGAACTTTAGTCGCAA